TTTTATTAATATTATTTCTATATGGTTTCTAAAAATATAAAAAAAAGTTGTTGAGGTACTCTTCATTGTCTTCCTATTCTTAAAAAAAAAAAAAAAAATCTGGTACAAAATTGGGTGTGAATTTAGATAAATTTCTATTCCTACATTGATTCTTTTATATATACATGTATTTTGAAGCGGAGGTAAATTGTAGTATAGTTGGCTCTCATGTCTATATAGATTCATTTTAAATTTAACATTCTTTTTGATAGGCTTAGCAGTCAGTCATAATGACATATATATGGCATGCGCATTTAATATAACCCCATAAGAAGCAGGAATCCTCCATGAAATAGTATGCACTTGTTCTTCTTGGAAAAATTGTTATAATTTCCACAAGCAAGAGCATATATTTGCTGGAAACTTGAAATGACCATTAATATTTTGTGAGACTCCCTTGAGAATCTGAAAGCACTTTTCCTACTAAAATTAAACAGAGGTAGGCATATCAGGTTCCTAAAGATTTTTTAAATTCTCCAAACATAGGGTCAGTGAGAAACATTAGAGTAAATTAAAGAGAGATCAAAGAAAGGAAATGTAGATTGTATGTCTTGTTCTTCATTTTTCTAGGATTACCATAGGGTTTTATTCATTCAGTTTTTCTTTTATCTTTGAAATCACGAATCAAAAAGAAACAAGTAGGGACATGACAGGTTAAAAATTTCAAGAAAACAAAAATAAAAAAATTTTCTAAATTTTCTTGACTTAGTCATGACAGTACTGTTCAAGAATGTTGAGAGAATGGAAATAAATTATTCTTCCCTCACTTGTGTTACCTTAACACATGAGAAGTTTCCTGGTTTAAATGCTCAGCATAGAATTATTGCCCTAACTCGAAGTGTCAATAATTGCAACCATTATAACATTAATGACCAAAACTACCTGTAAGGTACAGGTGTTACTAACAGAGGATAAAAAAGGAGAAGTAAATTTTGCTCTCTGTCGTGTCCTGAATAAACTTGTGCCCTACTCATATCTTTACTTAAAACATGAAAGTGACCATTTAAGAGAGTAGTACACGAATTTGTAATGTTTGTTAAAATCGTGGTTTTCCATGAGTAAATGATTTTTTTTTTTTTTTTTTTTATAATTCTTCTTGACTAACTAGTTGTGATCAAAAATAACTTTTCTGGATGTTTTCATAAAGTGCCATTGCAGAGATTAATCATTCTGTCTGTACTTGGACATAATTCCTTCTAAAATCAGTGGCACTTGTGCCTAAATGCAGAATGTGGGAACATGCTCAAGAAGAGCATTCTATGCTCAGAAAGCATTTGTCTTTATATTCTGCCATTAGTCCAAATACAAAGTCTGGCACTGCATTTCATGACAACGTGCTGCTCCACTAGTTCTGTCTAGAAACAAGCTCTTTTCTGTGAAAATTTTTTTTATTCTTTCAAGGCAGTATAACAAACAACACAAGTAAAAATAATTTTCTCTGAAAACTTCTTGAATTGAAAATGCTGCAAATTTGTAAATTCTGACATATGCCCTTTAAAACTTGTGTATCTACTGTTTTTATTTTCATTATGCATTGCAAGTTATATCCATAATGTTTAAAACTGTTCTATTCCAGCAAAAATATGGCTTTTAACCAAATAAAAATGTAAAGCCAACTTGCTGTAAAATCCATCTGGTTTTCATTTTCTTATAATCTATAATCAGGAAATCCATTCATACATGACATATAATTTTTGCGCTTTCAAGTGGATAGTGAAATGCAGTGTTCTGCATACAGTCACTTCTAAATTGATAATTGTCCAGGCAGAGTGTAATTTTAAAGTATAGGATGAAGGAAGGTTTAATTTGTATATTAGAAGTCTTATAAGGGTTTTTTTTGCCTCCGAATGTAAATGAGGCCATTCTCTTCAGTGGATTTGTCTGAAGGTGGGGCAGCTGCCTCGGAGCAGGCCACAGCTTTCTGAGTAAGGAGGATACAGTTTAAAGAGCTGGTTTAAATGCAGACTCTTCTTAACTCTAAACCGCATGCATGCATTCATCATTGATTTTCAAATCATGGGTTTCTGTATCATCGGTTTAAGGTCCACAGCCTTACATTCCTGAGTCCATATTATACCAAAAGAATAACAATTTGGTGTCTGGAAAAAGGAATGGTTATTATATGGCTCCAAAATGCTAGCTGGCATAATGTGCCATGAACAGCAGAAATCTACTGGTAAAGAGAAGATTGCAGTAGTTATTAAAAATAATCTGGTGTTCTAAAAATATAAATGTAAGAAACGTTATCATAGTCAAAATACTGTACATCAGTAGGTAAGTAATATAAACATCAGACAAAAGTTTCTGAAAAGTTATATACGGATGCTTTTTTTCTCATAATACTTTAAAGTGAATTATGTTAAGTAAATTTTATGTAGAAAACGGGATTTTTTTCTTGTAGGGGTTTCTATTCTCTGCAAATCACAGCCATAGAAACTTACAGATTACAGTGGATGCTGTTAAGTTAAACATCTTAGATTGTATATTGTAGAACTAAAAAAAAAATACGTTGCTTCTTCAAAAAGCTTCATTTTCACTTTCTGAGCAAATGCTTGTCATACAACAGATTTCACAAGACAGCTTTACTTCCTGTTGGTAAAACAGATCCTGTATGAAACCCGCACCAGAGAAACTACTTTGCTTCAGTTTCTTCTGTTGATCACTTCCCTACGCCATTAGTTTTTCGGTATTCCATTTGTAACAGATCACCTTTAAAAAGGCACTGAATGTTCTAGGAGAAAATACTGTTGCATATTCGAAATGCCCCTTATAATTTTGCTACTTCTGGTAACACATAGCATCAATTAGAGCACAGTATGTAGCAAATCCATGTTGAGAGCAAATGTTCACTTAAAAACCCAGCCTACTGACACAAAATGGAAAATTCTTGACAGTGTTCTGCTATTTTAGCTTCATAAGTGTAAAATACCCTTTTTTTCATTAACTCATTTTATCTCACTATTACTGAGGAAATAGCAAGACTGACTATGAAAAATATTTTAATACAAAATCTCTGAAATATCTGAGTGCTTCTAAATTTTCATCTTAATTCCTATTTACAAAGGCTGAGGATAACATGAAACTAAAAAGCATGAACATAAACAAGCTGAGTCAGACCTGTGGCTGAAGGTGCCTCACAAATATAGAAGTCAGGCACTTTGTGATACTTTTCCTTTGTCCCAAGTCTAGTGTTCACAGTTCAGGGTCTTTCAGACCCTAAAGCGTTATTTTTGTGTTTAAGAGCCTTTGACAGTTATTTGTCATGGACTTTGCTGATGTGACAAATACAATTAGCTAATGTGCTTGCAGATTCGTAACATGGTTTTAATGTTAGTCATGCTTGGGCGCACTCAGTTATCCTAACGTATCTGAGACATTCACTCTTGTGTACTGTCATTTTTATGTCCACGTCATAGACTTTATAAAATTTAGTTTTATGATCCATTTATGTCCTCTAGGGCTGTAAACCCAATTTCATGTATGAAAACCAGTGAGATACTGAGTTTTTCACTGCCTTTGGGACTACAGAGGGAATTTGAAGGTCCAGGGCTTCTGGCTCACCGGACTCACCCACACTCACTAGCTCTTCTTCCCACATTGTTTCTATGTGTCTCAGCTTGTGAGCTGTGGACAGAAGATGAGCACAGAACAGAAAGCCTCCCCTAGCATTTGCTTTCTTGGTATTCATCTTTGAAAGTTCCCTCTTTCTGTACTAGTTTTCATGCTATTCCATCTCTTATGACCAAGCAGTTTGTGTTTCTCTCTTGAGCCTGTGCAGACAGAAGTAAGCCTACACTAGGAAGTCATCTCTTTCCTCACACTTTGTGGCTAGGAGGTGAAATTAGTCACATAAAATATGAAGGTCTCATTTTCAGTAGACTGGTAGGTCAGTAACCTTACAGATACACAGTTGTCAGTACTGCATGGCGAGAGAAGAGAACCCTCTTCTGAAAAAGGCAAATGAAGCATTTGCCTGTCAGAATTGTTCCTGAGGCATGCAGAAAGCAGCAGGGAGATGAGGATGAAAGATAGGGTGGTATTTTCCAAATAAGGTTATGCTCTTGCTACCATTGACTTTAGTGTTGACAGAATCAGGTCCAAAAAGCCAGAAACACTCTTGAGCCAGAAACACTCAAGAATCTTCCTAGTCCTCTCCCTGCCTCTTCTGGTAATTATAGCCTTTCTACACAAATCCTTTGTTTAAAAACAAAACAAAATCATGACCTGGAAAGGGCTGAATCAGGAAAGTCAGAATCCTCTGTAGCTGTCGAGAAAACATTCTTTAAAGCTACAAGAATGTCTGATTATCCCGATTGTCTTGTAGGGAAAAAAGGTCTTGGCTACTTTGAGTGCAGTGTATTGTGCTATATACCATAGTGCAGCAAATAAGAGTCACATAATGAAGTTATTTTCAGCACATTGCTGAGATGTCAGCTGCCCTGAGTGAAAACAATTTTACACCAGTTGTTCTAGTGATCACAGAATCCCAGACTATTTTGTGTTGGAAAGGACCTTAAAGCTCGTCCAATTCCAACCCCCTCCCACAGACAGGGACACCTTCCACTAGACCGGGTTGATCCAAGCCCCGTCCAACCTGGCCTTGAACACTGCCAGGGATGGGGCAGCCACAGCTTCTCTGGGCAACCTGTGCCAGGGCCTCACCAGCCTCACAGGGAAGAACTTCTGCCTAAGAGCTCATCTCAATCTCCCCTCTGTCAGGTTAAAGCCATCCCCCCTTGTCCTGTCACTACCTGCCCTATACATGGGATAGGATAGGAAAATATGGGATGTGTTGTGTTTTCCTATAAAGGCACATTGCATGACAGAGGTATTTACCTTGATTTTTTTTTAATTATTATTATTTGACATATTTAGTATTCAGTCTTAAGAAATATCTTGGAGTTTATAAACCTTCTCTCTTTTTTCCTCTTCTCTTTTTTTCTTTTATTTTACCTAAACAGGGAATGGATATGGCAACCCCCGCAACTCACCAGGTCTGCTGGTCTCACCTGGCAACTTGAACAAGAATATGCAAGCAAAATCTCCGCCTCCAATGAATTTGGGAATGAACAACCGTAAACCAGATCTCCGTGTGCTTATTCCACCTGGCAGCAAGAATACAATGCCATCAGTGGTAATGCATTTTCAAAGCTTTTTTTTCTCTCCTTCACGTAAGAGATACTCAGGAATTTCAAGCCTGCTCAGGAAACTACAACCAGAATAACATTCCGCTTTCTTTCTTTTTTGGTCTTTCTCTCTTCACCTTAAGGCTTGACATTGAGCTGAGGATGTAGGCAGAGCCTGTTTTATTGCTTTTATGAAGTCGTATTTACTTCCTCCCTTTTTTCTACTGAGCTGCAAAATAGGAGCTGTGTCCTGTACAGTCTAAACTTCTGCACCCTCTTTCCTAGTAGCTGGAAAAGCTTTTCCTGTGTTTGTTATAAAGGCTTGGTTTAACCCTGTGTATTCCTAACTTCCTGTGTTTTTCTTAAACGTTTAACCACACAGACTCTCATCAGATGTCATTTTAACTACACATAAATTAACCGGAACTCTATCACTCTGATCTCCATTTTGTAATGATAAGATGTAGTAAATAGATGGAGTAGGATAAAAAGGAGCCTGAAACTGCTGCATCTCCTGCCAGGATTAACGAAATTTAGGCAGGCTGGAAGATTGAATCGCAAAGGTGTCATGCATGTCTTGTAGTTCCCATCCCAAAGTCAGTTAGTGGTTGCAAGCAAAGCTTTCGTGAGTGATTTAACATTAAAAGTGAGTTTAATTTAAAAAGGATCTTGATGGTAAAATTAAGTGACATGATAAGCATGTTTTTACATTATGTAACAAACACTATTAAAACAACTTCCAAGTTGGCTGCTTCAGCTTGACACATCATAAATTAACTTTGAACGTCAAACTAACCCACTCACCTTAAATGTGGTGCTGCCTTCTGAGAGGAGAGGTAACAAATGGTCTCCTACAGGAAAATGTTCAAAGTCAACCAAAGCAGTGACAAGATGTCTACATCAAATGATTTATTCCAAGGTCCTTGAAACTGATATTTTTCCAAGGGTCAGGTCAATGGTGAGGTCTCCTGAAACCAGGTATAGCAACACAGTCTTAGAGAAAGTCTTGTGCTGCAAACTGGGTGGATTGTCCTTGCAGTTGAGACAAACATCCCATCAGAAGGAAATCAAAGAGATCTGTGACATGTTATATTTCAAGACTATCCTCAGAAACTGTTTAATTGCTGCCCTATCATCAAATGAAGCTATTCCTTAAGATAGAAATCTGCATCCTGGTAAATATTTATATTCACTAATTTTTAATGCTCCTTTCCTATGCACTCAGTCTGAGGATGTTGACCTGCTCCTGGTAAGTGGTAGCGATGTTCATCTTAATAACAAGGAAAAGAAAACCCATTCTTTTGTATAATTGATACTTGTGTAGGTGAAGTGTTGGGAAACTTTACTGTAACTACTCTGAACAGCAAGGCCATCATAGTTTTTGAAATGCAGCAGTATGGAAGACCAGGTGCAGTTGTTGCATGTACTCAAGCTAAATATATGCTAGGATAAAGCTTGCTTGTTGCTGATGCCTTGAGAGAGTGTAAACTTGTTCTGCTGAAGATGGTGCAGCCTCCTGACATATTTTTTGGTGTCTCTCTGGTCATTTTATCTTGCCAGTCCCAAGATTAGAGTTCTCTAGCACAAATTTTCAAGTGCAACATCTAGTGCCCTGGTGCAAGACATAAGTATGTAAGTGCTGAGCTGTCTTAACAAGCTTGAAGTTTGTTTTATTGCACAAAAAATGAAGTAGTCAGAGCACCATCTGCTGGAAAGACATCCGTGTGCAACACTCCCGGGGTGCCATCACTTTGAAAGCATATAATCCAGTAGGGCTGGGTTAGGGGTTTTTTCTATCACTTCTCTATTTTTTATTATTTTTCCCCTCCATTTGAGTGAAAAGGAAAACAACTGGAATAGAGTTTACATATTCCATTAGTTTTTCACACGATCTGTTCTCCCACCAACAATAAAAGCAATCTTACTTGTTACTAGTTCAGTTACCTAGGAGATACTGATGTAATGGGTTACTATGGTGACAACTGGTCTCTTGAAGGCTTCAGTTTGGCAGAGTTCATAAAAGCCACATGTTAAAAGATTAATTTCTAGAAATTCCTATCAGACTGTATGTATCACAAAACGTACCCAGACAGCTTCTATACTGACTTAAAACTAGTCAATAATATGTTTATTTTACTTACTTTAAAAGAATCAAAGGATAAATAACTCCCAGTCTGCTCAGTCATTGGCTACTCCAGTGGTTTCCGTAGCAACTCCTACTCTACCAGGGCAAGGGATGGGAGGATACCCATCAGCCATCTCAACAACATATGGTACTGGTAAGTATGGGAGCAAGATTTAAAGGCTGGGGGAGGGAGCAACGCGATGACAAATGTCTGTCTCAGGACTAACAAACTACCTGACGTTCATTGGCAGAAACTGAAAAAATCACAGTTGATATGCTTCCATACAGCATTCACTTACCCTCTGTCTGTCACTAACTTGAGACATATCTGTTTTAAAGTTAGCTATTTTGTTTGAATGCAAAACTTATTTGATAGCTTTATTTCTTTGGCTTTAATAAAAAATGTAACTTAAAAGACATTTCTTAATACCATGGGTAATTTCATGTACTTGAGTGTACCTCCTGAAAGTCAGAAGGGTAGCAGGAGCAAGCAGCTTCACTGGTTTCCAGAGTTCAGTAACTTTTTGGGCTACCCCATAGCTATCTGAGAGAGACTAGAAATGAAGCATCAAGAGATCCTTTCCAGTTCCTGTTGCACATTGCTGCTGAACAGACCAAGCTGGCATATGGAGACAATGCTCTTAGAGAAGATGTGCGTTGCTCAGATGCAGGCTGCATGCTGTCTTCTGCAAGGAAGACTAACCAAAACATTATTGTTTTTCAAGTCTTTGACTCTCTCAGAACACATATTTAGCTTATGGTGGATATACAAGCTGACAGTGCTTTGGATCTTCCAGATCCAGAAAAGCCCTGCTAAATTACAGAGTAATTATTAGTGTATTATTTGTTCCCAAGTTAATGAGTTGAGGGAAGAGGAAGGTCTACTTTTCTGCTGCAACTTAATGTGATTGGTGTAATTAAAATGAAAAGGCTTATAAAGTGACATATGAAAATGATGATGCTAGTTATTTTTTAATTGCTTCCTCTTTAATTCTCTTTTAATTATTGTCTTTTCTGTTTTCAAATCTAGAATATTCTCTGAGCAGTGCAGATATATCATCTCTCTCTGGGTTTAATACAGCCAGTGCTCTTCATCTTGGCTCTGTGACTGGCTGGCAACAGCAACACCTACATAACATGCCACCATCTGCCCTCAGTCAATTGGGGTAAGCACTGTTTCCTTTATTTTAATTTTCTACAATGACTCCAGTCTTCCCGGTAATCCCAAATCTGAAATACATCAAGATGACTTTTTGTCAGCACACATTTACTACATGTAAGAGCTACAGTTCACAAAACTGGAACTAATTGTTTCATTAAGAATTTGCCAGGTAGCTGCAATTAAATATTCTGTGATCATGACGCTTTCTCAATAGTGTAGTAAAGACTACTATTTGTGGCTTAGTCTTTATTTCTTTAAATAGCACTTTATGTCACTACGAAAGACCAGACTAAACCTTTACACTATGCTATTGCTGTATTTTGCCATTTTTGCCATTTAAGCTTTTTATTTCCAGTTACTATAGCACAAACATTTACAGTAAACTTGAAAATTTTCTTAATATTTTTAATCAAGTAAGAGCAGTGTAATGATTTGACCTGAGATTAAGCCTTAACCTTATAGAATAAGCACATTCTCCCTTCTTCTTAACTCTGACATTCAAGTTTAATTTCTTTGGAAGTGTTTTCTACAAGCAAGTAACATAGTTAGGCCTAAGAACCGTAAACCCACAAAGCTTATTGTGATTTATTGGCCTGTGTTGACGGAGGTAGGTATTCGTGCCCTCTAGTGGCCAATTTCAAGACATTCACTCAAGGTTGGTGAAGCACAAAGCTGAATCATTTCAGCATTTTTAAAAGTGTGAAAATTCACACAGAGAGGTCACCTAAAGCATTCTTGAAAAAGCAAAGCCTATTAGCTCATTGAGGTGAGCTTTAAGATTGTGATCTTCAAAAATCCTATTATCTGCAGTTTCTACTGACTAAGGCTATGGGCATTCACCAGCACACCACACATAGCCTAAGGCAGGGCCAGCCGTGTTTGAATTGCAAAATTTTTCGTTATAAAAATTGAAGCTGAGAACAGCTGGAGTGTGTTTATGAGGAGAAATTTAATTCACATGCATTTGAAAAGTAAACATTATTTTCCCCTCAGAAAGAGGCGTTGCACATATGCACTAATTTTTTTTTTTTTGCAAGATGGTTGCCATAATGTGAAACTATTTAATAGTATAAATGTGGTTTAAACTTCAAAACTCTCCTTCTAATTTATGTATCTGACCACTTTTTGTAGCTTACTGTAATTTCTTTACCATGTACAGACAGTCTGGGTTTTTAAAGGACAGCTATACAAGTATTTCAGAAGAAACAAATGTTTTAAACCTCATTTCTATATAAATAATCATATATACATACTAACTACATAAAAATATATAACTGACAGTTGCTGTGCTAGAAAAAAAATACTCTTAAAACCTTTCTGTTATGCTACTTTTATTTTCTTTTTGAGTTTGCACAGTTTCTGGAGCAAAATTCAGGCTAACTTTACAACTAAAGACATAAAGCCTCAAATAAATTGAAAACTCACATGTTAGATATCAATGTATGTCCTTACAATAAGCTGATTGTTTTCAGTGGTGTACCAAAGAATGTAATAAGGCTATTTGGTTAACCAGAAAAGTATAAATGAAAACCTAAACTGACTACATGCCTTTTCAGATATGTCACACATTGTCATCTGTTTCTAATTCATATCACAGAATGTCAAAGTGTAATAGCTGTGGCTGGTGGAATACATTCTGAGTTGCTAATTATTATTATTATTATTTCAGTTATTTGTAAATGAATTCAGCTATGAAAGCTGCTTCATTGACAGTTATGGAGAAGTCTTCTATCTCTGCAGAAAATCATAAGCTTTTTTTTTTTTATTATTTTAGTCACTGAGTTCTACATGCAAAAGTACCTCTACTAACTCTTTTATGATCTGAAAAACTTTAAACTGTACAGAACTTATTCACTCCATGTCAACCTGAGCTAGAATTTTCAGGAAGATTAAATCACACAAAATTGTAGTCATCCCCAGGTATTTGAGAAAATACATCTACAAAGGTTTTGACAACCCAAATCCCTGTGCTGAGTGAGGTCATATACTGGAAAGATTTGGTAACTGAAAGATCTTTTTTGGTAGCAGTAGGCTGTGAAGATCAGTGAGAAAACAGGGCCTAAGTCCTCAGCAGGTTTTGTTTTTAACCAAAACCTGAAAGTGCAAACCAGCCCTTCTTCCTCAGTGCAGTGCAGAACATGGTTAGTAATAGAATAAGATGCAGTTAGATATATTAGCTTTCTCCAGATAAGTCCCCAGCAATTTCAGCAGCACTGTCAGAACCATCTTTAAGATAACTGGAGATGTCTACAACCTAATTCTTACATCTTCATGTTGGTTCTACAATTAACAACTGTACTGGTGTCAGTAGGCCTGAGGGCAAATACCTGAGGATATGGAAGTAGTTCATTTTCTCTGCCTGGGCAGCCTTCAGGTTTTTTATGAACCCTGTGAACAGGACAATAATATAGAGTCTGTTTTGATATAACAGGGACATCAAAACAAGTCTCAGCTTTTTAGGTTAAAAAGCGAAATAGTACTTTTGCAGTCTTTAAACTAGGTCTACACCTGGAAAAAAAATACATACAAATTCTATTGAAAATCAATCCCTCCCAAAATTTTGGAATTTTGGCTGAATATTGGTTCAGTGTTTCTTATAGAGAAGGTTACTGCTTATTTAGCATCGACCAGAGAGTCTACCTGAATTTAATTGCTGCTAAACAAGAGGGAAGGCCATGCCAAGCTTTGAAATAATGACCTAATTTTAGGCCATTATATGGAAAATGTTTTCTTACACCCGTATTTCCCAGTTGAAGAGATAATATTTTCTTCCTTAAGTATCACCTGCAGGTGAAATTTTGGCTTTCCTGAAATATAAGTGCAAACACAGAAACAGCATTTCATCTGAAAAATCTTCAGTATAGATAATTGTATAAGTATAGATAGTTTATCTGTAGAAGTTTCTCCGTACTTCTACCCACCAGAATAAGAGATTGTCCAAATTCAAGCATACTGTTAACTTGTTCTGTGACTCTTACATAGCAAGCTTATTACTTGACAATGATTAATTTTGGTTAGGTAATAAGAATAGCTAGATATCAGCAAATATTCTCTACTGAACAAGTTTTACTGAAAATTTTAGACATCATGTTTTGTGAATTTATATCAGTTCCTGATTTGAATAAAACCCTTGTATATTTAGGATTCAACCTTTTTTCTCCTGCCACCATTGTAAATGAGATGTTCCAGTGATTTAGGTTAATATTATTCTTCTTTTAGAATTTTCTTTTCAAAGTGTAGAACTGAGTATGTGAAAGCTAGTCAGAATATCCTGACACAGAAATTCTTTTTCTGCTTTTGCATTGATCAAAGCATGTGAAAAAAAACCCTACTTACCTAAAAGAAAAACAGAGGGGAGGGAGGTTGCATTGCTAGCAAGTCAAAAATATCTTCTATTCTCCTAGTTACCAACTAACACATAGCTAAAGTTACATAACTAAATTTTGCTGTGAATGTTCAATGGTTCCTTAAATACATTTATGGGGAAAACTTACATGAAGTGAGGAAGCAAACTAATTCAGAGAAGCAAGTATGGCCACAAAAGAAAAGGTGTGAGGCTCGCTCTTCCTTCAATGGACTGCTTCCTCCCTCAGTGAAAATCTAACTGATGCATTTTATGTCCTCACTCGTCACCTACTCAGACCTGCATATCTCTCCGTGCATGCTGAGCTTCCATACCAGTCTGTGAGTTGAACAGATGGAGATGCACACAGAACTGATCTCACTGGCATCACAAGGACCAAACCCACCTACACGCTCATTTCACCCTGACATGCTTCCTATCTCTTACACAGCAGACCTGTGTAGTTATTCAGTGTTGAACCCAAATAGGAGCCAGCATTCAAGGCCAGGTTGCACTGAGCTTTGAACAACCTGGTCAAGTGGAAGGTGTCCCTTTCTGTAGATAGAAACAGCACTTTCCTCAGTCACAAATACACATAGATGAAAAGAAATCATTTTGTAGCGGACAGAATTCTTGGGTTTTATAATACAGCTCTATTCTAGAGCTCTTTAGGATACAGGTCTGAAGACTGCACTTATGTGCTATTTCACTATTTACATCTATGTGTTACAGTAGGATTACCTTGTAATTGACCATTTTAGCTAACATGAAATTATCATAAAAATGTTTCAGAAAATTTTAATGAAATCATGTAAATTGTAATCACTAGAAAACATGTATTAAAATTCACAATAGCAGAAAAAGACTATACTTATTTATTTTAAGTTGAATGCTAACTCAGAATAATTGCTTTAATTTATCATATTGATTTAAACCTAAAAAATTTACTCCTGATATGCCAAAATAACTTCTTAATCTTTCTCTATTTACAAAAATACTGTTCAAAATGCAGATTAACCTGGAGCATTTTTTAAATCACCACATGTTAATATGCCAAGTATTTACATAAGCCTGCTGATAAGTCACAGGAATCTAAAGAAAAGTGCAGATACACATTCTCACACTCAATTTTAAAAAACTATTTAAAAAGCAACATAGCAGTATAGCAGTAGTAGCTCTCTTTAATTATAAATGCAGTTTATCCCTTTAGATTTGGTCCTTCAGGAGTTGTCACACAATAGAATGCAAGTATGTTCAATGTGAACAAATTTGGCTGAATATGGTTGTTTTTTACTTGCATGGCTTTTTCAGCTGTCCCCAGCTTTTCGAAGTGACATGTCTTCTGCCCTTATCAAACACTTCTAAATCAAACCCCCATTCTCCAGCATCCTTTATTATGGGGTTTTCAGATTTACTTATCAGCTTGGCATCAAAAAAACATATGTAATCTTATCATATATACTAAACTAGCAGCCTGTTTTAGCATTTCCTAAGCACCTGAAAAGTAAAGTCACTGGAAATGAAAAGCTAAAAAACCAACAAAATGAACAAAACCCTAGGAATGTAATTTTTATTCTTGTTGGATTCTTTTCAAAAATATTTCAGAAAAGAGTAGAGTATTTCACTGAATTGGAATGACACAGTCTTAGCTTTACAGTTTCTTAAATGTGCTAATTTAACAAATACAAAGAAAATGACCTTTTGGGAAAAAAATAAAAAGGAAAAAAAAGCCTACATTTGCTACTGTAATGGCTAGTACTCACAAACTCTGTGGTTTATGAAAGGGGTGACTGCAAATTAGGCACATTCGTCCATATAGGAGTGAAGGGTACATAAAAGCAATTGGAGGTAGAACATCCTGGTTTTTCTGTTTTCTAACAAGATCTATCCATTATTAGAGACTCAATAATTCCTGGTAAAAGCAGCTGATATCATTCAATATAGAAGCCATATAGTTTCATTTTAGATCTGTCAGAGGAAAACAGCATTTTGCTGAAATAAAGCTCGACTCCCAGTTGATATCAGGAAAAGTGAGATATTTCAATAAATTAAAAGACGACATGTAAACTTACTTGTGTCTTCTAAATGCTTAAAAAATATTTCCAAATCCCAGTATTTCTTCTACTTGCAGTAAAATGCTTGCACATCGCCTTGCATTTAAAACCTTACGAGGCCAAGTAGCCTATTGCCCCTGCTGCCTTCAGTCTCCCCCTGTATAAAGACTCATTAGAAACCTTGAAACTGTGTCTTAGGGGTTAGACGCTAACTTTAGCCTAGCAAATGGTCCCTGAAGTGGAACATAATGGGAACCGCATGTTGAGAACTGTTTTAATAGCAAAAAGTCAGGTTTTACCAGGAGGTGGTGCTTTTGCACAAAACATCCTGCAGATGCAATTATGTCATTTCTCCCACAGAGATAAAACACATTCTCGGTATTCACTCTCCTCCCTGCCTGTTTCAGCTTCCCTCTGCCCACAGAAATGCGTAGAAAGAAAATTAACTTAGAATAGTTATACAGCTTGACTTTGAAGAAGTTTTAGCATAGCAGTTTCTCTTGGTGCTAGGAGCATCCTCTGAGCTGGGCTCACCTACAGGCAAATAGCACAATCCTGACATCTTCCAGTACTCTTCAACTTCTCTTTGATTGTTTATTGAAAAGCATTCTGGATTGAGTTAGGAATTCATAGATTTGAACCATAAAATCATATCTAAATCCTTGCCTCCCTGTGGTATTTTATTAATGTCTAAGACCAGAAATTACTAGGACCAGTAATTTCACTCTATTCTGAATGGTATAAATTGTACCTGGCCCAATCTTTCATGTCTGCTTTGCATCTGAAGTCATGTGTCAAAATAATCAGCAATAAAACTAGTTGAGCACACTCAAACTAATTGGATTAATCCCAGCAGAAAGTCCATGCCTCCCCTGTCTCAGCCGGTGCATACACACACACAAGCATTAGTTTTAAAGGTGATTGCAACAGTGCAAAGGCTCGCCTTCCAAAATTTGAGACACTTGAGGTAAAAAAAGGAGAGATTGAAACTGAGATCTCCTTTCAAACCAGGGTCATGTCCACATCTGTTGTGATGTTTTTCATTGCTTTGAATTGGTGAATTCTGCCCAGAACAGAGTCCCCATGCTTTCTGCAGGTGCTGACCCCTTGCGAGCCTTTACACTGGTGTTTTGTGTGAGTGTTTGTGCATATCTGGGGGCTCCATGCCTCCTCCGTCTATAACTGGGTTTCCTTTCCTCCTACAGAGCTTGCACTAGCACTCATTTATCTCAGAGTACAAATCTCTCCCTGCCTTCTACTCAAAGCCTCAACATCAAGTCAGAACCTGTTTCTCCTCCTAGAGACCGTACCACCACACCCTCGAGATACCCACAGCACACGCGCCATGAGGCTGGGAGATCTCCCGTTGACAGTTTGAGCAGCTGTAGCAGTTCCTATGATGGAAGTGACCGAGAAGATCACCGGAATGAATTCCACTCCCCCATTGGACTCACCAGACCTTCGCCGGACGAAAGGGAAAGCCCCTCTGTCAAGCGCATGCGGCTCTCTGAAGGATGGGCGACATGATAACATTATTACCTATTAGGTTGTTTTTTCTTTTCCTTGCAGTGTGTGTGTGCTATACCTTAATGGGGGGAGGGGGGGGGGGGTCGATATGCATTATATGTGCTGTGTGTGGAAAAAAAAAGTCAGGTACTCTGTTTTGTAAAAGTACTTTACATTGCCTCAGTGATACAGTATAAGGATAAACCGAAATGCTGAGATAAGCTTAGCACTTGAGTTGTACAACAGAACACTTGTACAAAATAGATTTAAGGCTAACTTCTTTTCACTGTTGTGCTCCCTTGCAAAATGTATGTTACAATAGATAGCGTCATGTTGCAGGTTCAACGTTATTTACATGTAAATAGACAAAAGGAAAACATTTGCCAGAAATGGCAGATCTTTACTGAGAGAGAAAGCAGCTGTTATGAGACATATAGAAAAGTGTACAGGTGTTTTGACAGACCCAGCAGTTGGGTGGCCATGAACTGATGCTAGAAAAAGAGTGGCTCACCTGACATACCGAAAACATTCACAAACATGCAGGCATATGGTTAGAGTATGGCACTCAGTTAGAAAGGATCAAACATTTAAAGAGGACCATACTTGTAAAAACGTTGAGTTTGAGGGCTAACATATTTAATTTAAAAAAATCTGGGTCTGTATCACTTACTAAATGAAAACAAATATAAAAAATATGTACATTACATTTTGCTTATTTTCATATTAAAAAGTAAGACAGAGTTTGCAAAGCATTTGTGGCTTTTGTAGTTTCCTCAAGCCAAAATGTGTTCTTTTTCCCGTGATAGCTTTGCTGATCTTTTAAACAGTCCTGAAGAAACAAACGAAAAGGACTTTTTGTATAGAAAGCACTACCCTAAGCCATCAAGAACTCCATGCTTTGCTAACCAGGATAACTGTTTTCTCTTTGCAGAAGTTTTGTTTTTGAAATGTGTATTTCTAATTATATAAAATATTAAGAATCTTTTAAAAAAATCTGTGAAATTAACATGCTTGTGTATAGCTTTCTAATATATATAATAATTATGGTAATAGCAAAAGTTTTTGTTATCTTAATAGTGGGGAATTATATTTGTGCAGTTGCACATTTAACTATTTTCTCTCAGTTTTCTTTGACTGGGTATACGTTTTACAGATCAAAGTCAGCTGTTGAAAGACTGATCTGTAAAAAATTAGAATTTACCCATGGTGTAACAACTTAAGTCATTTTAATACAGCATTTTACAATCAGTTTGGTGAACTGCGATCCATTGTATATACTGATTAGTTCTTTCATGCTGTTTTGTGCATTGTAACAAGGGCCCTTCTGTTACTTAATGTCCTGCGTATCTTGTAGTTTTCCATGGGTTAAATGACAAATTGGCGTAACTTGGCCATTTCTCATTAATAAAGCTGGTATTCTGCCTGTCAGAATTGGGTGTACAGCTCTAACAGCTGTCAGTTGCATGAGTGCAGGTGAATATTTGGCAGAAGCAGTAGAGAGAGTTTAAGGGAGTGGTTGCCATGAACATGGCTACTGTAGGGATTACTCCCTTCTCTCACAGATTTAAAACTCTTAGAGAGATCGTGAATTAAAGGACCATTCAAACGTCGATTGATCTCACAGCCAACATGGGCCATCAGGTTCCTGGTTCTCATGGACCTTTGTGGTCACATCGTCTCACAGTGAGCATATTGTTGAGCAATGCTCCCTGTTTATCAGCAACCAAGAAAGCTTTACTTCAGCATATGGCATCCACAACTTCTCCTGCCTCGTGGTTTCTTTGACTAAAACAGCTTGACCAGAGGGAGTGTATCATTTCTGTTAAGTCCCTCTTTGTCCCTCGTTTATCAGAAGAAAATGGTATTTTCAAAATGTTTCAGTCTAATCTTGCTGTTGGAGGGAAAAGGTGTTTAAGCAAATGTTAGTGCCATAGTAAACTGTAATATTTCTCCTTTTTCCAAGAGTCCTTCCAACTGTCACATATCTACATTGACACTATGGTGAAGAATATAGCTGCGACAGCTAAATATAAACACCAAATACTTTGTTAAGGGAAGTTCACACTGTTTCCCACCTATACATGCAGTTGCTGTGCACTGCTCTATAAGAGTGTACCTCTCTGTAGTAGAGAATGATGAACAGACTACAGTTTGCATCAGGACATACACTTTTCACTTATCATGACTTTATAAATGCCTGCCTTACAGGCACTCTCAGCTGTGCAGGGGCTGGTGCATGATCTGGAAACTCTTTAAGCAGAATACTGTGCTACTACTGCATCCATCTTAGCTCGTGTAGCAATCCGCAGGGTAAACATAAAGATACGCATGTTTGAAAAAAAAAAAAGAAAAACACCAAAAAAAAAATCACAAAAAGTAACAAAAACAAAACAAGAAACGGGTAAAATGGGGCCCACAATTAATTTTAAAACACAAAAAACCTGTTTTTGAAACCACTCTCTTCACCTTCTGATAAACTTATGCTCATGTTCCCTTCTGATAATTTTAAACTCTGGTGTGTCAAAAATATGCAAATATATCACAAATGTACCTTGTAATTTCAAGAACAAAAAACAACTTTATCAGTATTGTAGTAAAACCTTGTCAGTGGGGAAGGGGATTTGGTCTATTGATATATGAAGAATAGCCATATTAATAGTTTACCTTGCGATTTGCCTCAACAAATCATGAAAAAAGGAAAGATACCATATTTAATGAAGATGCAGTGTAATATATTACTGCGAGTAACTAAGCAGAAAGTAGCCTGAAAAATATTGCCTGGGCAATTTATATTAACTCTGACAATGATTTTTGTACAAACACAAACAAGTAAACAGAATCACATGAAAACAAATGCCAGTCATCCCTCTTGTTCCTGCTTTGGAGGGCAACTAACTTATACTGGCAGAATTTTGGGGGATAATGCGTATTTGCAAACTGATCTAATGATAAGAAGCACAACTTTGATTGTGAAGTCACTTTCTGTAAACTATAACTGTCTACCTTTCTTGTTCCTTTATCTGTACCTTACCATTTATTGTATTTGCGAAGCTAATTTGGGTTTATTGTGTGATTCCTTTGTATTTAAGGAGTTTGGGGCAGAGCCCTGAAAGAGTATTAACATTTACTTTACCTTAACCCATGCTATATAATGTTTTAGGCAACATTCTTAATTGTAAGTTCAAACACCTGAAGTGGCATTCTGGACATCTGCAAGTATTGTTATAGCTAAGCTAACCTCTATTAAAAGGTGTTGTCAGTTAGTGTTTAATTGCTGGTGACAATTATATGATATACCCTATCTGCACAACCTATATATTGTATGCATTGAGCCATTCGCAGTAAAGCTTTTGTCATTTCAGTGTTTTTCAAAAGTTGTGTTTTATAACAAAATGGCTTATATTTTTCCCAGAAGAGGAATTTAGCAGTTTTTAATGAATAATATAAAAATATCTGTTGTCCTCAGATCTTTTTCAGGTAAAGCTAGCGTAAGAATAAAAGAACCTATAGACTGTTTTCAAGGATGTCAACCCTTTTGTATTGTATGTGTTATCCTATATACCCTCTTTTATCTATAGTCCTAACAGCTGTTTTGCTTTCCTTCTTCCTTCGCCTTGAAGGTAAATGCTTTGTAATTTTTTAAAAGCCACTTGAAACCTCAATAAAGGCTGTTGCCTAAACATGGCATACTTCATCTGTTCCTGTTTGTGCCATCTGCTGTGATGTCGTCAGTTATATGGCATTAATTTCCTGCCACTACAGGTCTCTTGAAGGACTGATGGAACATTGGTGTCTGTTAGAATGCTTCAGACTGTAGATGTAATAAAAGGCTTTTGTTAATATATTTTAACCAAAGATGTGGAGCAATCCAAGTTTTGAGCCACAGACCTTCTGCATCAAAAGTATCCATTTAATTATTTTCATAATCAGATGTTACATTTCTACCTTCCCTTCTCATACCTCAGACTGATCCTTACCTCAGTTTGATTCAAAAAAAAGGTCAGTTAAGAAACTCATTTAAAATTTAAAAAGTGGAAAAAGATATGCAGTATCCAGAGTCTTTCATGGAGTAACTAATACCAGACCTGGGTTACCGCAGGCACTTGGATTGCTTCAGATGGTTTGTTGTATCCTTTTTTCTTTTTTTCTTCTCTTTCATGGGGATTTGCTTCCATAAAACAATGGTGATAACAAAATAGCTTGTAAATGGGAGCATACAAGCATTTGCAACAAATATAGAAGTAGAGGCTCACAGCGGCATAAGCTGGACTTTGTCGCCACTAGATGACAAAATGTTATAACTAAGTTAAACCACATCTGTGTATCTCAAGGGACTTAATTCAGCTGTCTGTAGTGAACAAAAATGGGAAAATTTCAAAAGATTCTCCTGCTGGAAATAAGGTATAATTTGTATTTTGCAGACAAATCAGTAAAGTTACTGGCTTTCTTAGTGATACAGTGTGTGTGGTGCCTTTTTTTTATTAATTTGATGTTCCATTTTCACTGTTTTGCACAGTAACACGTGAAAGAATCAGCACTTTAACAACTGGCAGTTGCCTCAAGGTTCCTCTGCCTGTCACTTGTGCTTGCTTAAAAAGTTAAGCAACTTTTTGTGGCACCCTGAGCATCGTGGGTCTTCACAAATGTTAATGCCCCACCACACTTCATCCCACCAGGTTAGAGAAGCTCCATTACTGCTCTGGAAGTTAGTACAGTTTTAAACAAGGCTGTCTGAATGTGGCCCTGATGTCTGAGGTAGCAGAGGAGCTAGGGTGAAATAATGCCTGGCATTTGGGTACTTAATCAGACCCCCATAGGTACATGTGCTGTAAATTCTACCCATGGGGAGAACTGTTTAAAAACCCTACCAAAAACATATTCTGAGACAAAACCTTGTATCCCTTGGGTGTATGCTTTATATATATTTTTTCTAACATGACAGCTTCATGGGGACTGCATCAGAATTAATCTGTTCCCTTTTGTATACTTTTGTTATTGTTTAATTATTTTTTTCCTTGCTAGCATTTATAGTTCTGGAGCCTGAGACTACAAGGATCCCTTTACTTCAATGAA